TCATCGGTTAGCCCAGCATTTCCAACTATTGCTTTCAGAGTTTTCTTAGCTACTTTAACCAGCGACTCAAACACCCCTCCAAAGTGCGACCCCAATGGAGGATTCCAACTCCATTTGATCCCGTCATTGCTAACATTACCCGCGATCTGTTCCTGGTCCATTGATTGAACAAGTTCTCTAAGCTCTCTCTCTGCTCCTACAAAGTTTGTCCCATTGTCACTTGTAACTCTTCCGGTCTTCCCATGGTGGCTACTATTCGGCTGAACGGATTCAGGAAATCTGTGGTGCTCAATGAACATGCCAATTCTAGATGCACCGCTCTGGTTGCTGGGCACGTAAACAGGCACAAATACCTTTTAGCAGAAACTCTTCGAGTAATCTTGGTCGTGAAGGGACCAGCGTAATCAACACAGCACTTTGCAAACGCTCTCATCGTTGTTCCAACTCTCGTCCTTGGAAGTGGTGCCATGATCTGCACTGATAGCTGCACACGTCTTCTCTCACACACCTTACATTCTTTGTCCCAATTCTTCACCTCCTGTCGACCATCTATAACCCAGTATCGGTTTCGTACCTGAACTAGCACGTGGTTGACGCCCGCATGTCGGCAACGGTTATGAACGATCATTGGTCCAGCCAACATGGTATCCTTAAGGCTTACTCCGCCGTATCTGGCTGCTGAATCCTACACTATCCTCACTTTGGTAGTCTCTTTGTCTTCTCTTACTACGGGAAAATGAGGTAGGTACCAACTTGGGTCATCATCAATTTCTCCTGGCTCCAGTTTCCGGATGTAACCCTTGGCTTCATTTGCTTCCATCACCTGACAATATTTCTCGGCAACGTCCAGCCTTCGTTGTAAGTGCTTCTCAAGAGAGTAGAGCCGGTCCTCAGCAGTACTCTTGTTGCAATACAACGGCGGTTCATCGTCCTGCCATGGAATTGCCTCTTCATAACGTCCCTCGGCGTAACACCTCGACTCTGCCACCTTGCGAGTAGCGAGCACCTCTTCTGCAGTGAAAGGCTTGTTTTGGTTAGTGATTCCCAGCAATTCTTCATCCCACATCTTCCGCATCAACTCATCGGCCCTCATTTCCATAACTGTCTCATTATTATCTGTCCATCAAATTTTAATCAAGTCATAGCATCCTTACATTTTTGGGGATCAAAGTCAATGACCTGTCTGTCGAAATTGTTTCCGAGTTATGACGTGTGTCAATCAATGATAGACCAATGGAAATCTAGCAATGGGCTTATAAGAGTGGCTATGAGTCGGAATGGTATGATCATACCAGGGACCAAAGTGATGATGAAGAAAGTTCGATTTCATCCAATCAGACAAGTGGTGTATCTCACTGAAATTCATCCCTACATAGAAGTCGAAGAGAGGATAAATACAATAAAACCGTTCCTGGATACTCCGTTTAAACACAAAATAAAAGCGGTAAAAGAGAGACAACATACGTATGATGCACGATCCTCGCAGTATATAGCGCTATTTAAGTAATAGCGAAAATCAGACCTGAAAAAAATCAGGCCTGTACGGGATTCGAAACACTGACCTCTGCGATACTAGTGCAGCCCTCTACCAATTGAGCTAACAAGCCAACTGGGAGCAGGCCGTTAAGTTGATTCGTAATAAACCCGTGAAAGTGATTTATCACTTTCACGGGTTTATTACGAATCACTTTCACGGGTTTATTACAAATCACTTTCACGGGTTTATTACGAATCAACTTAACGGCCTGCTCCCAGTTGGCTTGTTAGCTCAATTGGTAGAGGGCTGCACTAGTATCGCAGAGGTCAGTGTTTCGAATCCCGTACAGGCCTGATTTTTTTCAGGTCTGATTTTCGCTATTACTTAAATAGCGCTATATACTGCGAGGATCGTGCATCATACGTATGTTGTCTCTCTTTTACCGCTTTTATTTTGTGTTTAAACGGAGTATCCAGGAACGGTTTTATTGTATTTATCCTCTCTTCGACTTCTATGTAGGGATGAATTTCAGTGAGATACACCACTTGTCTGATTGGATGAAATCGAACTTTCTTCATCATCACTTTGGTCCCTGGTATGATCATACCATTCCGACTCATAGCCACTCTTATAAGCCCATTGCTAGATTTCCATTGGTCTATCATTGATTGACACACGTCATAACTCGGAAACAATTTCGACAGACAGGTCATTGACTTTGATCCCCAAAAATGTAAGGATGCTATGACTTGATTAAAATTTGATGGACAGATAATAATGAGACAGTTATGGAAATGAGGGCCGATGAGTTGATGCGGAAGATGTGGGATGAAGAATTGCTGGGAATCACTAACCAAAACAAGCCTTTCACTGCAGAAGAGGTGCTCGCTACTCGCAAGGTGGCAGAGTCGAGGTGTTACGCCGAGGGACGTTATGAAGAGGCAATTCCATGGCAGGACGATGAACCGCCGTTGTATTGCAACAAGAGTACTGCTGAGGACCGGCTCTACTCTCTTGAGAAGCACTTACAACGAAGGCCGGACGTTGCCGAGAAATATTGTCAGGTGATGGAAGCAAATGAAGCCAAGGGTTACATCCGGAAACTGGAGCCAGGAGAAATTGATGATG